TATTGTAAAATAACATAAAAAAATTCGTTATCAATTGTGTAACAGCTCTGTGTAACAACCCACTGTCTCTGCTGTAGATTTTATGTAGAAGACATACTTAGAATGCACTTATATAAAAAATTATTTTTATATATAATAGTTAATTCCAAAAAATAAATATGCTTATAAATATGATGTGCTAGGGAATGATTATATGGAAGTGTGACTAATCATTAATTTTCGATATTAACACAAAATTCGAAAGTCCCATCATGCAAGTAATAGTGACACAAACAATCAAAATAATAATCGGTTGAGGTGGATATATAACGATAAATATTGTGTCTATTATTATAGCTGCGATAACGCTATAAAGCAATTAGAAATGACCATCAACCTATTATCTCGTAGCGGTTGACGATTAATTTTATAATCGCTGCTGAAGTTGCAATAAACACGCATAAAAAGCAGCGGTCAAACCAATAATCAAACAAGGTAGTGGTATACAACACATGCAGTAGTTGGGTGTAAAGTGGTTACCAATCTAGGCGCGGAAGACACAATAAATAGACTCAGAACTATCATAAGTAATAATAATAATATTATTATTATTATTATATTAAGAATGAGACCTGGCCTCGGTCTTTATTGAATAATTATGTATTACATTGTTTTATCAGAAGTAATATTACCTTCATTATTTTTCAAGAAAAAGATAATTTAGTTTTATTTTTAGATTATAACAACAATAATAAGATAATCACCGAAGGCAACAATCATATAATTCTAATATAAATTTACAGTATGAAGGCGGTCGAATTCCAGAATCTTTTAATTCCGAATATTCATATGGCTCGGCTGTAATATCTAGCATTATAAAAATCGGATGTGCAATAGCTGTATGATATATATAGCCTATAAATAATACAGTTAGACCTCTCTAAATGCACGCCTTTGGGACCACACTTTAACAACGTATTTTTAGAGAATAATAAGAAAAAGTGTATTTATAGAAGTCAACTATATATTTGAGCCAGTATCTGAGAGAGGTCTGACTGTATTCTCTAAATGCATGTTGTTAAAGTGTGGTCCCAAGGGCATGCATTTAGAGAGGTCTAACTGTATATATATCTTTCTATTCTGACTTATTACTGTTGAAGTTGATCTACGTCTAATTGGTGAACCTCATCTAGGACTGCGAATTAACCAAGCTTCCGTAGTAGGGCAGTAAATAAAATTATTTAACTCTCTACTATCTCGATTATATACATTCTAAGTAATGAATAATCCGTAATAGTTTCATTATGGTCTATTCGATTAAGGAGTATAAGGTCTTGTAATGTACCTACAGCGAGATACACATCATCTTTGTTAACACCACCTGACACAGCAGTTCCTAATGAATATATCAAATATAGAATGTATAATATAAGTTTTAACACTTGCTAAACATGTAAATTTAATAATTAACTTTTACACTTTCAAATAACATTCGTGAAATGCCGTAAAGATCAGTAAATGGTGGGCTAACTGTAGAAAATGATGACGTAATATCCAAGGAAAAAACTTCATCAGACAAATTATAACCTCTTATTGGAAATTTTTTTTATTGGGTTTTCATCTGAAACTCTACAAGAGCCACCCATAAAATAAATCCTATCGCAGCTGCATGACCAACTCTACCTTCTGGCTTAATACTATTTATCCCAAAAATCATACATATAAAAATGAAATATGAATAAAATAGATTTAGTTAAGGATTTCATTCTTAGATTCTACCGATTAGATTATAAAGTGAGTGTATCGGTAGATTTTATAAGGAGGCAATATATTAGAATTAAATAAACAATATACGAAATTTCGATTATCAAATTAGTTAAATGTTGCATAAAATATAGTATTTACAAGATAATATTGTACAGTAAATACCTTTTTTTAATGAAACTTTTTTTTTATGAAACGTTCTTTTTTGTAAACATATTTACGCACATTGTAACGGGGTAATATGACCTAGCCGCAGTTATGAAAACGTGATTCAAGCCACATAACTTGGGACCCAAAATGAGGATTTAT